GCTCTGTTTTCTGAGCTGGGGACAGAAGTGTGATTGCCCAGCACTCTTATCCTGTTTGGGTGGAGCTGTGATGGGCAGATGCTATTTGATGACATCACGTCTATTGTCCACCCAATTGTACAGCATTGTTTAACCTAATGGGGTGCTAATGAGGATCTCTGTTTAGCCAGGTTGGCTCCAGCACTGCTAAGATCTCCTGGGTATGCTGAGTTGGTGGCCCGGTCTCATTAGATTTGTGGCTGCTTCTCGGTATTCCCTGCTGGTTCCCGTGCCTAATCCCTTGGGCTTCTGAGGTGGAAGCAGGCTGGAAGTTCCTTCCTGAGGAGTTATAGGGATTGGCTTTCCCTTCCATACTGTTGCAAACCCTGAGTGTTTATCTTGTTTGTATGTGGCCCCTCCTTATTGCTATTGGAGGCTGATTTACTGCTTTTGCATGCATACTAAGCCACATTTTTAACCTCATACTTTTTCTAACTTGGTAGCTATGGGCATGTTTCCCGGCTCCCTGTTGCAGACCATCTATTCTACCTGTTCTGCCACTCTCTTTCTGTTATCTACTGTTGGTATGTGGTTTTTTTTTTTTTTTTTTTTTTGGGCTGTTTGACCTGGGCATTTGTGGGGTGTTTCACCACATTTTGCTCTGCTACTTTTATTTTATATGAGGGTCTCATGGCTGAGATAACTGCACCCTACTTCCATTCCCACTTACTGATCTCTAGTACATTCCATATTGGGTTCTGGTAGTCGGTGGTTGAGTGTAACAGTACTCTCATCTCAAATTTCATCTGCAGTTGCCATGGTGCTTTGTATGCGTTTAGTTATAACGCTGACCATTTGATGGCTTGGAAGTTCAGTTGAGGTTATCTTTCATAGCATGCCTTGAATATAACTGTTTTGTGACATGGTGTCCCATTCTCCATGCCTTAGTTGTGGTAGGAAATTCTTCCCAACTGGGACAAATCCCATTTGTTGGACAGATGGAATCTTGAGTGGGCCAAGTCTTCCCTTCTCTGGTGGCATTGGTCCCCCTTTCTGTTATTCCCCAAGTCATTCTTTCCTCTTCTTGATTCATGGTCACCACAGATGCCAGCCTGTGCAGGGGATGGGGGGGGGGCTGGCAAGTCAGCCATCAGCCCAGGTCCTCTGGGCATGCAGGAATCTTAGTCACCTATCAATGGCCTAAAAAACTATGGGTCATCAGATTTTGTCTGTCTCGTTTGGCCTCCACCAATGCTCGGTTTATGTCATTCACCAGTGCTACTTGGAGGTACAGTATCTTACCTTCGACGGTGGGTGGAGTTTCTCATCTCTACTCTCTCAGCGATGTACATTTCGGGTGTGGGAAACTGGCTGATTGATTTCCCCAGCTGTCAAATTTTGTACCATTGAGAATGGTCTATATCCTTGGCACTTTTTCCATTGGTTATCCTGGCATCTCAGCAGGAAGGTATCCTAACTCATGGTGATCCTTAAATGGATGACCTGCTGGTGGCATGGGACCGTTTAAGACTTGGTTATGCCTTCCTACCTTTTTGGCTTCTTCCATGACTACTGCAAAGGATGATGGCTGCAGGAATTCTGGTCATTCTTGTGGCTCTGGATTAACGTTGTTATCCCTTGTACACAGCTGTGGTGCGCTTGGTCACAGACACTCCCTGGCATCTTCCATTTTCATTGTACCTGTTCCTAGTGCCGACCAATCTTCCCTACTTCCCCCTCCTCCAGCTTGTTGGCCTGGCTCCTAAAAGCCAGGTTCCTGGGGACATGGGGTTTTCGGCTGCAATTATTCCTACATACTTTGAAGACATGATTCCTCTTCTCCGAGGATCAACCATTGCACCTGGAAGGCCTCCTTTGCATGGTTCAGGTCTTTTCCTTGGATCGAATCTCCAGGTTTCCCTCACACACTTCCTCCGTGACGTTTTCTGTGATTTTTGGCCCTCTCCAGTGGGGCGTTGACCAGTATCTTGCTTGAGTATGCATTCCTTGACTTGTGCCTGCTTTTAGGGGATGCCATGTAACTACTCCCACTTTTTTTTTTTTTTTTTTTTTTCATGCCACTGAAACACTTACATCTCGTCATCCACGCTGGTCCATGTTAGGTTGGTGGCTTTTTCAGCCTCTTTGGTTCTGGCCTATGCCATAAGGGGTCAGGCTTTCTCCTTTTTCCCGTTGTGACCTAGTCAGCTAGGGCAAATGGGTCGTCTTGAGCTCCTGCATCGGTGTCTTGGTTTGCTAATCTGTTTCCTATTTGTTTGTCCTTTTATATTGTATGGGTTTTTTTTTGTTTTTTGTTTTTTTCCATGCTTGCTTTTTTTGAAATCCTCGAATGTGTTTTTTGGCCACTGTTTTTTGTAGGCAGCAGTTTGAGTTTTCTGTTCTTGCTGGGGGTTTTCTTTTGGGTTGTTTGCTCGATCTTCCCATCCTTCAATTTTCACTGCTTTGGAATGTCTCTGTGTTCAGTGTCCTTCAATAAATGTAAGAGAGAACTGGATTTTTTTTTTTTTTTTACTCGCTGTAAAGTCCTTTTCTCTGAGTTCAAAGAGTGATAGAGTGCTTTTAACCTCAGTTCCTACCAGCAGGTGACCACCTTTTTAACCTCTCTTGCTTCCACTTGCAAGGCACGGCAGAGGCCTTAGGAAAGGAAGTCCTGCAACTGCCTGCGTGTCACAGCTGAGGAACGTGCAGGTCCCACAGCCATCTATGATCAGACACCAGATGTACCTCTGTCTTATTTTCATTCCTCCTATCAGCATTTTTTATTTGTAAATAAGGAATGCTGGAACCAAAGAAGCACACAATTTGTGTAAAAGAAACAAATTATATAACTAGTGGCACAGGATTTACATATTCTATATAAGTGTGTCCAAGGACAAATCAGCCTTTTTTTTTCTCTGGTTTTTAGATGGTGCTATTTCAGTTTGTGTCCCTGTTAAGGGAGATTTAAGCATTTATTTGTCCTAAAGACCATTGAAACCATGACTGAAAGTGATGAAAAATTAACAATTGAATAGGAGTGGAGGGGAAAACCTTCCAATGGGGACACTTGTTTCTTGTTGACATTTTTTTCTCCATTTGAAGAGCTTTCCTCTCACTTTATGTTGTGTATGTGGAATAGAAAGTAAATAAAAATATCTTGAATAGGGCACATGCACAGAAGGCAAATAAGACATTGACTTTTAACAAATCCCTACCCAATTGGAAATGGTAAAAAGGGTCTATAAAATGAGGCTTAATTGCTTTAGATGGTGTTTTTTTTGTTTTGTTTTTTCTTTTTAAATGCACAAGTTATTATAAATCACAAAGCAGAATTTAATACATGGTAACAAAAATAATATAAAATTCTGCTGACATTTTTATCATTCTTCCATCTATTATCAGTGATATGACAGTTTCTCTAATTGATAACTGAAGATACTGATCACCAGGTAAAGTTCCCAAACTCTCTGTGTATTCTTCAAACTTTTTGCATGGGATTTGTTGATATGCTAACACACAGTAATGTTTCTGTTCTGCTTTCCACACACTGGCACCTAACAGTTCAAGTACTATTTTCTTCTTTCTTCCAAATTGTCCTTTTTTTGTCCTCTTTGTACCAATTCTTATTTAAGAGGTTGAACCTGTTGCGATGGAGGCAAGACATATAGGCTGGAGTCTAGGGAGTCAAAACCACTAGTACAGTACAAATTAGCCTGCCCAATAATCTTGATTTAATGTCCAATCAGTAATAGTTGGCAGCAAACTGACTTGACATGACTTGTCAAAGGCACATTTTGCTTCCATACTACCATGAGTAACATACTTTTATAGCAGTAGTAAGTGGTTGCACAGAAGCCCTGATGTCATGTGACTAATTATGTCATGGCAAAGGTTAACATAATCAATGACAACTATTGGTATCTGAGCAATCTAAGCCTGGGCGAGGCCAAAGCTCATCTGAAGGTTGTACTGGTTCTAAGGGACTGCATGTAAAAGATTATGGTACCTAACGTCAGTCTTTTTGTTAGTGAAACAACTGTGGTCTGAGTTGACATCCTTTCTTTGCTCCTTACAGTGGAGCTTCCTTGCTTAATGCTTTGTCTGCTCAGCTGACTTTTTAAATGTTATTTTAAAAGAAACAACTAATTACTTAAAATTTTATGCAAATTTCATATTTTAATATATTTGATGGTATGCAGCGAACACAATTTTTTTTTTTTTTTTAAATGCAAAGAATTATCACTGTGCAGCTTCACTACTTTTGTATGTAAAATGTTGTCAAGTGACAAGGTCCGGTGATTGCCAGGCAATCTTGTGAATATAAAACTAGGATAACGTGGTAATAAGGCAGATTTCAAAACTTGCCTTCTGCATTATTGAAGACTTCTTTTTTCTGCATCCTAAAATGAACATACTTCTACAACAACAAAGTATACAGTATGTATCTGTTAAATATTAGCGTAATCTCCTAAGTGAGGAGGTCAGGTGTGTTCAGCCTCCTCCAATGCGCTGTATCGTATTTTTTGCTTTGCAAAGACAGCGCTTAGTTGTCTATATTCAAAAATAAGTTTGGACAACATCTGTGTTCTTCCCAGATATGCAGCGTAGTAGGTGCTTTTAAAATGACATGGAGTTTGGAGAAATCCCCTTTAACCACTAGCCTACAGGGCACTTATACCCCCTTCCTGCCCAGGCCAATTTCCAGCTTTCAGCGCTGTCACACTTTGAATGACAATTGCGTGGTCATGCAACATTGTAACCATATTAAATTTTTATCATTTTTTTGAGACAGATAGAGCTTTCTTTTGGTGGTATTTAATCACCTCTGGGTTTTTTATTTTTTTCTTAAACAAACCAAAAACCACAGAAAATTGTGGGGAAAAAAAACGTTTTTTCTTAGTTTTTGTTATACAATTTTGTAAATAAGTGATTTTTCTCCTTCACTGATGTGCGCTAATGAGGCTGCACTGATGGGGCACTGATAGGCTGCACTGATGGGGCACTGATGAGTATTGACAGGCATCACTGATGGGCACTGAAAGGCAGCACTGATACATGGCACTGATACGCGGCACTGAATGGCATTGATGGGTGGCACTGATGGGTGACATTGAAAGGCAGCTCAGATGGGCACTAATATGTGGCATTGATGTGCACTGGTATGTACTGATATGTGGCACTGATGGGCACTGGCACGTGGCCCTGACGAGCACTGACAGGTGACACTTCTGGGGCCACACTGATCATCAGGGCACACTGATCATCAGTGCCCTGATGATCAGTGTACATGTCCCTTCCGCGGAAAGCCGATTACCAGCTCTCCTCCAGCCTGACAGCTCGAGAGGAGAGAAATGCCGATAACCGGCATTTCCGTGTTTACATGTGATCAGCTGTGATTGGACACAGCTGATCACATGACCGAGCCGACATCTTCAGCTCTTTCCGTGACGGACCGGTGATCGCCGTGCTGTGCGCTCCCTGAGCCGCACATGCGCAGTGAGAATGGAAGGACGTCATATGACTTCCTATGAGAACGAGAGAACCATCTTGTGCCCGTCGTACTATAGGGCGGGCGGAAGGTGGTTAAAGAAACATGTAAAAAGATCATTCATCTAAACGTGTAAAACGATCAGTCATCTACAACTGGCATTTTTATTTTGTTGCAGGTCAGTGAAATCCTAATAAAAAAAAAAAATGTGTTTTGTCCTCAGAAAAGAAGCAATTTTGAATTATCACAGCTTAATGGCTAAAAATCTGCATTGCGCCCGCCGTTCTCGGCTGTCTTGGAGAAGAAGTACCCGGCGACTTCAGCATACAATTGAAGGCTGGACTGACATGGCTTTGACCAGTATTGGCAACATTGGTGCACACTGACATTATGCTACAGAGAGTGTGTAACCAGCTTTGTGGGTCCTTATATAAATGTATGTCTATTTTATATGTTGTATGACTGTTACTAACACTCTGTGAAAGATTATATACTAGACAGTCACTTGAATTATGCTTTGACTCGGGTTATAGCATGGCGGCAGAGCACCTTTTAGTGCTTACTGCCTACTTTATATTTTAAGTTACCGATTTTATTTTTTTCTTTTTGAAACCGTGTAAGCAACTCTCTAGCAAAATTAGGGAAGTTTGTTTTTTTTCAGCAATTGACAAAGCGGGTAATGGGTTCAACCTGTGTATAAAAACAATGTTTGTCACTCTCCTTCTGTACAGATTTAAACCGACAGCCAACACTTTTTTTGTTAAGGTTTTGGACACAGTGGAGAAGGGATAGTACCTCTTTCATATTTTAACTATGGTTTGTATCCTCACTGTGAGTTTTTTCCTCATTACTGGTTTAAATGGGGTCACAGACTGCAATAAAACATCACAGAAGTATTTATTCTTCGCAAACGTAAAAAAAAAAAAGTTCTGGCTGCAGTTTGGCTTTATTGAAGTATTTTTGGGGAGCTTCCTATTTTAGGCACTTGTAACTGATAACGCCATTTCATATTATCTTCTCTACCTTTTGAACCAGAAATGAAGCCAGAATAATCGAAAAAAAAAAATTTAAATGCCCTAAGGTAGCATATTTTGAGTGCACCCATCATCATTGTATGAACATTCAAAATAAACATACTAGATAGTACTTTAAGGTACTGTATCAATTATTATATATGATGCAGACAAATCTCAATTTCATGACTTTTAATCATTATTGCAAAATCACAACTTTCATTAAAACTTTTCTTTGCTGACAATTCCATTCATATAAAAATTTCTCTATACAGATACATTGATCGTGTGTAGATTGTCTTAGTTATATACATTGATTTTTTTTTTTAAATGTTTCCAAAATCCAGAGATTTTATTCTCTAAGCGTTTCATGAACAACCATTCACTTTCTCAAGAGAAGACTACGTATGGATCTATAACATACAACAGCAGATGAATTACAATACACTCTTGCATATAACAATTGATTAACTTAATACATTTAAGGCAAAAAGTTAATGGATTTAACAACAAAGAAATGTTCTTTTTTTTTTTTTTTTTTTTTTTTTTCTTTTTAGAGAAAAAGTTGTGATTTTATAATTACAATGATTAATCGTTATGAATTTTACATTTTGTATGCTCTATGCAATGATTGATGCACCACTTTAATAGTCCTATCTAGTATTATGTTTGAATTTACAGCTAGAATAAACTATCTATGGCTGCTTCATGTTGGACTTGTATGCAGAGACACCCCTTTCCTGCCACATAATTTTTCTTTCAGTGCCAATATCGCAGTGATTATAGATCTCTGTACTGGACTGTATTCTCTTGATACTGATGTTACTTTGTTTGTAAATACTACCGTAAGTCTGTTTTTCAGTATGTTTGGCATCATGCCTCACTGAATACAGTGTTCTTTTTTCTGAATTTGTTTCTTATGCCAGTAACAAACAGCATTTCCTGCTTTACGCTGACAACACTAATCTGCTACCTTACAATTCGAAGCAGTGTTGTCATCCTGTCAAGCAAGCTCCTTGAATTGGCTGTTTGGCAGCCTTTCTGATAAGCAGCCCTGTGGGCCATAGAGGAATACATATGGCAGGCTAACAAGACGGATGCTGATTGTGATGCAATGCCTTAGCATTATCAGCCTGAGAAGTGCTGTTAATATTTAAGATACCTGTATTGAGTGAGGCATGATGCCAAATATATTGAGCGTAGTTTAAAAGTGGAAAAAATTAACATTTAAAAGCAGTCTGGCCTGACTGCTTTTAACTTTTGCTGCTTTTTTTAAAATATATTGGTAAAAGTTGTATGCTGCAAATGCCCTTGAAGTATCTTATTTTGGAAAACATAAAATACCTGGCTGTGGCAGGTGTCCTAGCTTAAAGGATAAGTTCACGTGTTTTAAAAAAATAATAAATGTGCATTTATTTATTTACTTTTTTTAAAATTGGAGCCTAGAAAGCACTGCATCCATGATCAGCAGATCCCAGGTGCCAAGCAATATTCCTGCAGACCTGTCAGTGTATCTGTGTGCTAATACCTCATGCAGGCAAGCAGATACACGCTGACCGGAAAAGACAATGAACTACCATAGCGCTGAACAGCGTTCATTCAGAACTACAAGCTGACAGCCACAAAGAATCTGTAAATGAATAACGCAGCTGGATGTTTTTTTTTTTTTTTTTTTTTTTCTTTTTTAATAGTGACAGCTAGCGGAGATGCAGAAGAGCAGGCAGCGGCTCCAGCACTGGGAACTTGTTACATGTTCCACCCATTTTTTGGGTGGAACATGTAACATGTTCCCAAAGGTGAACTTATCCTTTTAATAGAAGCAGTGACACCCCCACCCCACATCCTTTTTGGTCTAAGCACTGCATGGAGGGAAGCAGTCACATGTAAGCACAGGGTGTATTGCAGTGGAAGCCAGGAGTGAAAGAGTGGGGGGTGTTGGAGTAGTGAATACAAGAGAATTTGGGACTGGACTTAATACACACCTTCCTGAATGGGCAAGGTGAAGGGGTCTTTTTTTTTAGTAAACCAAATGATTTTTGTTACTTTGTGTTTAGACTAACCCAGCAACAAATAAGTCAGAAGCATAGTTAATAACCCATGCTTTCATGTAGGAGATGCATGTTTTGTCTTGAGGATACTGTTCTTCTACCTCTTACTTTGGCATGCACTACCCCTCAGAAATTAATATATTGTAACTACGTATTCAGTTACATATATTGGTATTAAAAATAAATTCATACATTGTAACAAATACTAGCTGGATTAGAGGGTGTTCTTCTTTTTCTTTCCTTTTTTTAATATCTGCTGGTGCTCAGCTTTAAGTGATATAGAAAGTACAATAATTCTTTTGTTCCTTTTCAAATATAAAATAAGATGGGTGCCTTTTCAATTTAAGCAAAGAATACCTGGTGAAAACTCCCACTTTGCGCTGTAGCCACAGAAGTGACTTTTGTCTTTGTAGAACAGGGAGATGTGGTAAAGAGCTTCCTCTTTTTTTATAATAGATTTTAGACAAAAAGCAAGTAAGCTTTGACAGAGTATACTCCTTTGATGTCATATATGTATTTATCTATTATTTTTTTTATCACTAGCTATGAAGGAAATATTTTGCACCTTTTTTGTATTCTTTGATATCTTTGTAAGTGAACTATACTGTATATTATAAAAATTCAATTTTATAAAAAAAAGTGTTTCTTTACTTTCAATTGTGTGAGGTGTCAAAAGCAAAAGCTTTCTGGTTATTGTGCTAAGAAAGGTGATGCTGCATATAGATCACCATACAAACATACAGCCAGCACCTAGACCTGGGTTTTTTTTTTTTTTTCACTAGTCCATTTAACATGGTCTCCTATGGGACACTTTCACAGCTATTCTTCTTGTCAGCTGCTGCATTTTTGGGAAGGGTCAAAGAATCTTTTTAATGCAAAACAGTGTGTTTTTTGCTTAATAGACTTCAAAGGCGATGCAGTAGAAAAACATGTAGTGTAATTTTGGTGCGTTTTGTGTTTTTTAATCTGCCTAACAACAAATTGGCCAAAAAAAGCATCAAAAAACACATTTGCAAAAAGCACTGCAGAAAAGGATCAAAAGCAAACTGCATAGGTATGAACTAGGCCTCCTTTATCACTATGAGCAGGTCAAGCGGATGCAAAGTTATCCCTACAGTAAATAAAAAAAAAAAAGTGTCCACAAAAGCTTCTGTTATGGCCCAAGATAAAGTGCTTGTGGCAGCTGTTTGGCCAACTTTCTACGTTCCTGGGTCATTTTGATTTTGTGGAAGAAAACATGTATTCATCAAACCATGGTCCACCAGTTTCTGGTGAGGTGTGTTGAGAAGGGAGACTTGTGATAACCCCTGTTCACAACAATGATCAAACAACCACTTTCTTTCTATATCACAGTGGTGTGTCAAACCAATTTCACCCTTGTCCTCTGCAAAGTACACAGGAGAGCTTCCTGCTGTAAATCACAAGAGATATGATTCAAATGTAAAAAAAAAAAAAAGACAATCATTTGGTAAGATTATTTTATTTACTTAAAAACAAATAACATCAAAAATTATACCGGCTGTAAAAATCGTACATCTTTATTTTAGAAATGCATACTAAATTTTACAATTTTTTTTTCCTGTAATTTACAAGGCATTCATAAGAAATATAAACCATCTGTCACCAGGAATAACACATATTTTGTTAATTGTCATCTTTTTTAAAACTAGACATATAGTTAAAACTTTAAACCCCAAAACCAGTCTGTCATTTTTTTTTTTCAACTGGAATGTATTACACCAAGTAAACATTTTGTTTGTCACAGATAGAAAAATAAAATAACTTGTTTCAGTGAAGGAGAGGTCATGAGTCTGCTGTGGAATCTGAACTGGTTTTTAGCCATAATAAAGTGTATGCAA